GAGGAACTAAGGATGTTAGGAATGCAAAATCCTCTCCATGGACCATCATTTATTTTGGAAACATAATTTATAACCCCTAATAACCCGACTAGAAAAGAGGAAACTGAAAGATCACAGTGAAAGCCAGAGAAGATAGTGATGTCTAGATCTCTTCAAAAGAGAGCAGAAGGAGTGAGTCAGGGGACATTTGGGATTCCCAGAATGATGACTGCATGGGATTAGAATATGTGGTAAGAAATATATAAGCAGCAGGAAGTGAAACCACATCCAGTGCCCCCGTTGACTAATTTGAATAAAAGGGGGTGGTGATCCCAGTTTCTCATGGGTTCTATCTAGGAGGCAGGGCTTTGTGTAGACAATGACTGTGCATAAGCCAAGCCAAAACTCTAATTTTTCAGGGTGGCTGGTTGGCCTGGAATTAGGAGTGCTTTAATCACCTCCTCTTCATCCCATTGGTGAGAGAAGGATTTCCACCCTAAGGTCATGGAGATGACCAAATGCATGACACCCAACACTAGACAAGGGAAATTGGCAGCAGTTTATTAGTCACATAATCATAGCTCCGGGGCAGAGTGAACAACCAGAGATGGTGGGTTTTCGGCTCAGTTGGGAGGCAGGCGTGCTTTGCAGTATCAAGAGGGTGAGATGCCCTGTGGTTTCCACAGGAGGACATGATTGTCTTTTGGATAATTCCATGGGTGGCAGAGAACTTAAACCCATTATTCAGGGGTCAGCAGTAAGTGCCTCTGCTCCATTCGCTAAAGAAGGTACTTGTCCAGGTGACCTTTTCCATGGGAGTAGGTTGGGGAGAGAAACTTGCAGTTAAGCTGTTCTAGACCCTCCTGATTTCAACAGATGTCAAGCCAGCCTGTGATATTAGACCTGAGTTTTTGGCTATACACTATAGGGTGAGATACATCAGCAGCTCTGCTGACTGCCCTTTGTCTCTAGATTTGGCACGTTCCTATCCCTGACCTGGTGAGACCATTAAGTGGTCTCATCTCCACCAACTTGGGACAGGAAATACTCTAAAAATCAAGGCACCCTAAAGCTTTTCCTTTTTCCTGCGGCTGATCTTTCTGTGACTTCCCAAGATAAAGAGGAGAGAAAAGAGAATCAGTTCATTTCACTACATATTTGGGGCAAATGTTTCATGGAGTAGGGAGAGACTGAGATAAAATTAAAACTGTTTACCACCACTCCCCATTCATTCTCCATGCAGTGATCAGAATGATCTTTTAAAAACCAAATATAATCTTACCAGGCTGCTACTTTAAAACACTTCCATGGCTGTCCATTGGTCTTAGGATAAAGATAAAACTCCTTGCCATGGCCTGCAAGGCTCTATGCAGTCCAGTCCCTGCCTGCCTGTCCAGTCTTATCTCATGCTTTACTTCCCCCTTACTATCTATGTAGTAGGCATCCAGGTCTCCTTTAAGTTCCGTAAACTGGCTGTGCATTTTCTCCCCCGGGGCCTTCGCACATGCTCGTCTTTCCACCTAGAATGCTCTTCCCTACCCTATTCACCTAGTTACCTAGGACTTACCCTTCAGGGTTTAGCTAAAGGGCTGCATCCTCAAGGAGGACCTCTCTGATCTCCCCAAAATGGTCAAATTCCCCTATTTTAGGCTCTCAGAGCATCATTTTTCTTCTTCATCATGATCCCCTTCACAAAATGCAAATTTACATTTGAATTATTTGATTAATGTCCATCTCCTCACATCTCCGTGACAGCAGCAACCTTATCTATCATTGGTCTCTAGTGAGTACCTAAAAGAAAACTCGTTTTCCTATTCCCTACTTGTAATATTTCTGGGACCAAATGTTCGTGGAGTTTTCCCACACCAACCGGTTTTCCAACTCTCCAGACACCAACTGAGTGTCCTACAATTCAATTGCGTCATTAACTCCTGGCATTAGCCTAGACCCCAGAGGTTGAGGCCTCAATCCCACAAGATTGTCCTCCACTTCAGGTGCCAGTCGCAAGTCCCAGGGTGTCCCCTGTACTTCAGACCAACTGGCTAAGAAATGGGGGTTCCCATAGCCCCCTTCTCAGGTTCAGTCATTTGCCCAAATGGTTCACACAACTCAGGGAAACCTTTGTTTGTATTTACTGGTTTACTATAAAGGATATAATGATACAGACGAAGAACTAGATGAAGAGGTACATAGGGCAAGGTCCAAAAGGGTCCTGAGCACAGATGCTTGTCCCTGTGGAGTTGGGGTACAGCACTCTCCTAGCATGTAGATGTGTTCATCAATTCAGAAGCTCTCCACATCTCATAATCAAGACATTTTTAGGGGGATTTCATCACGTGGGCACAATCAGTTGTTAACTCAGTTTCCAACCCCTCTCCATTCTGGAGGATGAGAGAGTGGGGCTCAAAGTTCTAAGCTTCTGATCATGGCTTGGTCTTTCTGGCAACCAGCCCCCATCCTGAAGTTTGGAGCCCACCAAGAGTTGCCTCGTTAGAACACAAGACACTCTTATCACCCAGCAAATTCTAAGGGATTTAGGAGCTCTGTGTCAGGGATTGGGAGCAGCACAGTCTTATTATGTCATAGTTCCTCAATGAATATATGTTGAATGAAAGTGTCAATGAATGAACTGTGATTTGGGGATCTCCTGAGAAAAGGAAGTAAAAGGAACACTTCAGTAATCAAATTATACATTATTTTTTATAATCAAAACATTAATATTTTCTTATCAAAACATATTACCTAGTTAAGACATGTACATTGCCAAACTAGATTTAGGAAGTGTTTAAAAACTGGTGCCCTCTGAAGAGAGAAATGCAAGTTCATTACCAATTCTACATGAAACCAGCTAATGTTACAAGAAAGATCTCTAATACAGACATGAAGTAGTGAATACTGGGCAATTACCATATAGAATAATGGATTTAAGTATAAGAAAATAGATCCTACAAAGTGTGATTCTCCTTGGGATGCCTTTGCTGATGACATTATTTTATGCAGTAGACTAAAAACAAGTTACAAATATGATGCATGTTATTGTATGAAGTGTCAGACATTTTACACACTATTGGCATAACATATCACCCTCTCACCTAAAGCATCTGTGGGGAAGGTGAAGGAGGATAGTAGGTGGATCCAGTGACTAATTGTCATTCCAAATTCTGACGCCATCTGGGGCCTCTAGAGGTGATAGAAACACACTAGGGATAAGGCACCAAAAAATAAAATAAAATAAAGGTATAAAGTTTCAGAGGTTTATCAGAATGGAAATCTGTAGCTCGTACATAGAATTCTAGGAGTAAAAATTTAAATTCTGAAGAAGTCATATATAATCCACTTTTAAATATATATCATACATATAAGAAGTCATATATAATCTATCTCTGAAAGATAGTAAAAAAAAAAATGAAAGTTCAGTCTGGCCTAGTTTATTCCTGAGTTTAAAGCCAGATAAAATCCTGGGTCAAAAAAAGAAGTGTTTTGCTCATATTTACTTTACATGAGTACAGTAGAAAGCATCTGGTTTTTAAAAAGTATCAAAATGGCACATCTTAGAGTATGTATTAAGAAAACTCATAGATCCTTCATCAGTTATAGTGTTGAATAGTGGTCTCTATTTATTCTTTAAAAGAGTTGTTTAGAAATCATCAATTCTAATACCAAAACCCTGAAAAGGAAATCCTGAAGGAGGATCCTAAAACCTGACTATCCATTTTCATATTCTTAGCAGTCGATGTACAGAAATGGTAAAGGTTTGGGTGTGAGTTGCTTTTTAAGTAGCATCCAGACTGCATTCATTCTAATTGGCTGCAAAGTGCAGGATGTTAAAGGCATAAAGGTGGTCTTTTTCCGTTTTAACAGCAGTAGCTACTTCCAGTCATAGTAATAGGCTCTGGGTTAGAATGTATTGGGTAGTTCAGCAGTTAGATTGGATGGATTCCAGGGCTGGTCTGGTGGGTTACTTGATTTGGTCCGCAGCCCTGACAGGACTGCCGAACAGAGACCTAAGCCCTGGTGGTGCTTCAAGGGTGGTCCAGGCTCCCTAGGAACCCTAGAACCACAGAAGGTATGGCTGAGTCTGTGTTCCAGTGAGTCAGGCTTGCTCTCTGTCCCAGTCATCTGTTGCTGCATAACGAACAACCCGGAACTTAGTGGCTTAAAACAACAGTTTTGTTCTGTGGGAGGCGTCTCATGCAGTGGCAGTCCAATGGTAGCAGGGTGTGGAATCATCATCAGGCTTCTCTCCCATGTCCAGTGACTGCGTTTGGATGGCTTGGAAGCTGGGAACTGGTCAGGCATCTCTGTTCTCCATGTGGCTTTTGGAGCTTCCTCACAGTAGGATGGTCTGAGGAGAGTCAGACTTTGGTATGGGGGCAAGCTTCCTTCACAGCAGACGTGGGTAGGACCGGAAGTGGAAGCTGCCAGCCTCTAGACCAAGACTCTGAAGCCGGCACAGCGTCACTTCCACTATTGGATAGAAGTGATCAGAGTTGCCCACATGCAAGAGGAGGAGATATAACCCTTAGGTCCTGAGGGTCAGATGCCCAAGAATTTGTGGCCGCCATTAATCCTCCACAGTCTCCAACCAGCACCCAAAGGGTTTGTTCATAGTTGTACCTTATCCCAGTCTGGCCTCATAAGGAGCTGCTTGGCATTCATGTAGCTCTTTGTGCATTAACAAGAAAGTTCATGTACACTCTCTCAATTTGTCCTCCCAACATCTCTGTGGGATCGCAGTTGGGGTAGGCAGGCAACTGAGGCTCAGAGTTAAAAGCCTAGGATCACACAACTTCCTAGGGACAGAACTGAGGCACAGATCTGAATCTCTCGACTCTCAGTCCATGCTGAGGGATTCTGGTTTATTTGTTTGTTTGTTCAGTCTGCTCTCTGACACATCTAGAGCTGCAGGAGCAGAAAACACATTTCCCTTTGGGTGAACATTTGGCCTCAGATCTTTGCAGATCAAGCTCAGGGTGCAAACAAAGGAAACGTTAACACACCTGCTCAGCCCTGTGACCTCACTAAGGACTCTGGAAGCCGGTGTACTGGCCTTCACTCTTGGGAAACTCTCTCCGGATCCTCCAGCGGCAGCAGCTGGGCAGAATGGCAAAGTCGGCGAGGTCCTGGGAGCCGAAGCGCCAGGTGGTGTAGCACCTGTAGGCACAGTGCCGCAGCTGGCTGTTAGAGTTTTCATCCAGCTCCAGCAAGGGCTCCTGGTAGAGCAGGAGGAACTCCAGGAGCTGTCGGGACAAGATGAGCTTTCTGAAGGGCTCTGAGGTGGTGATGCAGGCACCCGCCTTTTTCCGACAGCACAGTTCTTCCAGGTGTCTGTGGCTCATGGGAAGCTGGGATGGGAGGCAGTGTCCACACTGGCACCAGTCTGGGCTGTTGCTGGATCTGGTAGCTGCTTCGTCACTTAACAGCTGGATCTCCTCTGCTTGTCCAGGAATAGGGGATGGATCATGGAGAGACGGGGGCAGCCTGGACAAGTCCATTGAGGGTCTCTGAAAAAGTCAAGTTACCAAACCCATCAGCAGTGACAACCCCTAGGGTTCTAGGTCCTTTACTTTTGTCATTAACTTATAAAATTATACTTACTATCACATTAATACCAGTAGCTATCATTTCTTGAATGTATATATCAAGACTATCCCAGTGTTTTATAAACTTGCCCCGTTTAGCCTTTGAAGAACCTCATGAGATATGTGTCCTTCTCTCCATTTTCCAGATTTGGGAAGTGAAATTCAGACAAGCCAGGCCTCAGGGCAGGTATCTCCTGTTCATGGGGACCTTCTTGCCCTGACCCCCCCCGATCTAGGTAGTTCCACCCCCACCCAGGTCACTCTCTTAGTGCATCATGAGATGCCGTGTTCTTCATAGTACTGTCACTATCTGAAATGATCCTACTCATTGATATGTCCTCTTGATGGTGGTTCTTCCACATGGAAGTGGGGGGGCCCTGTCTGCTTTGTTACTGCTGTATCCCCAATGCCTAGGACAGTACCCAGCACATAGTAGACAGTAAATATTTGTTGATTTTGCTCTACTCTCTCCTTTTCTACCAACTTCCCTCTTCCAGCAAATTCATTTGTTATCCTCCAAGAGGAGTTGCCATAATTGACATCATTTATATCTGTTCTTTGTAACATATACGTTCATTCACCGGACCAAGTTTGAGTCAGTACATTAAAATTAAATACTTCCTATATGTGAGCACTTACAGCAGCACTATTAACAATAGCCAAAGGGTAAAAACAACCCAAATATCCATCAACGGATGAACGGATAAAAATGTTATGTCCAGGGGCGGCTAGGTGGCTCAGTCGTTAAGTGTCTGCCTTCAGCTCAGGTCATGATCCCAGGGTCTTGGGATCGAGCTTCACATCGGGCTCTCTGCTCAGTGGGAAGCCTGCTTCTCCCTCTCCCACTCCCCCTGCTTGTGTTCCCTCTCTCGCTGTCTTGCTCTCTCTGTCAAATAAATAAATAAAATCTTAAAAAAAATGTTATGTCCAAAACCTATACTTTCAGGGATCATTTCTATAGTTTGTTAAAAACATGTCATGTCCATACAGTGGAGTAGTATTCAGCCAAAAAAGGAACAATGTACTGACACCTGCTACAACATAGATGAACCTTGAAGCCATTATGAAAAGTGAAAGAAGCCAGTCACAAAAAGGCAAATACTGTATGATTCCATTTGTATGAAATGTCCAAAATAGGCAAATCCATGCTGACAGAAAGCAGATTAGTGATTGCCAGGAGACCTGGGTGGCTCATTCGATTAAGCGTCTGCCTTCAGCTCAGGTCATGATCTCAGGGTCCTGGGATTGAGCCCCAAGTCAGGCTCCCAGCTCAGCGGGGAGCCTGCTTCTCCCTCTGCTGCTTTCCCTGCTCATTCTCTCACTCTCTCTCAAAAAAAAAAAAAAAAAAAAAAAGATTTCCAGGGACTAGGGGGAAGTGGGTGTGAGAAGTGGCTGCTGAATGGATACAGGGTTTCCTTTTGGATTGATGAAAAAGTTCTGGAACTAGATAGTGTGATGGTGGCACAGCATTGTGGATAAGCTTTTGAATTTTGAATTTTAAATGTCACTTCATTGTACACTTTACAGTGGTTAAAATGGTAAATTTTATCTGTATTCCCCTCCCCACCCCTCAGCTCATGTTACACCCAAACCCGATAAGGACATTACAAGAATGGAAAAACTTTGGCCAGTCTCTCTCAATAAGAGACATAAAAACCTTAAATATTAGTGAATCGAATCCAGCAATAAATACATAGAGTAATTTATTACCTTCAAATTGATTTTATTGCAGGAATGCAAGTTTGGCTTAACATTTGAAAATCAATTTCTGTAAGTCACCACATAACAGAAAAAAGAAAATTCATTGATCATTTTTTAAAAAGCAGAAAAAAGCATTATTTTAAAAATTCAGTATTAATTTATGATAAAAATTCTTAGCAAACTAAGAACGGAGGGGACTTTTCTTATTCCAGTAAAGCATTCTTTAAAACCCTACAGCAAATACTATAGTGAAATATGAAAAGCTTTCTTCCTGAGATAGGGAATGAGACAAAAAGATATTTGCTATTACCACTTCTTTTTTTTTAAATGTTTTATTTATTTATTCATGAGAGTCAGAGTGAGAGAGAGAGGCAGAGGGAGAGGGAGAAGCAGGCTCCCCGGCGGGACTCGATCCCAGGACTCTGGGATCGTGACCTGAGCCGAAAGCAGACACTTAACCATCTGAGCCTCCCAGGCGCCCGCTATTACATTCTAATCGGCATTGTACCAGAGGTCCTAGCAGGTGTAATGAACACCAGGAGCTGGAAGAGGCAAAGAAGGATCCTCCCTTAGGGCCTTCAGAAGCCCTACCAACACCTTGATTTCAGACTGCCAGCCTCCAGAATTGTGAGAGAATGAATTTCTGTTGTTTTCGGCTACTTAGTTTGTGGTGATTTATTATGGCAGCTGTAGAAATCATACAGTTATTGAAGATGTCCAGCGATCAGAGCTGCTGAGGAGAGCAGGAATTAAAACACCCCCTTTAGAGAATGGTTTGATAGTATCATATGCCAGCCTTCTGACCCAGCAGGTCCACTTGTAGGCACCATATGTTTACCATGGCAGCATTTCTGCATGAGCTCCAAAGTGGAAACTACCCAAATGTCCATCAACAATAGAAGGGATAAATAAATTGGTTGTTTGTAAAATGGAAATTATACAACAATGAGAATGAACTTTTGCTATATGCAGTGTCAATGGATGACTCACAAAAACAATATTGAGTGAAAGAAGTCTGACACTCCACAGAGTATATACTGAGTACATACAGGATTCAAATTTTATAAAATCCTGGAAGAGATAAAACTAACCTTTGGGTACAGAATAATGACATTTAAGGGAAGGTAGTGATTGGGTGGAGGCATGAAAAGGGCTTCTGCTAATAATATTCTGAGTTATATGTACTTTGTTAAGATTCATCAATTGTGATTTCCACAAATTTATAGCTATATTTTTATTTATTTATTTTAAAGATTTTATTTATTTGAGAGAGAGAGAGAGAAAGAGAGCGCATGAGCGGGCTGAGGAGCAGAGGGAGAGGGAGAAGCAGGCTCCCCGCTGAGCAGGGAGCCCGACGTGGGGGCTCTATATTGGGCTTGATCTCAGGACCCTGGGATCATGACCTGAGCCAAAGGCAGACGCTTAACTGACTGAACCACCCAGGTGCCCTGCTATATTTTTATTTAATAGTAAATTTTCTTTAAAAAAAAAAAATGTTTTAACTTACTGGGACTTCTTCACCTTCGACATTTTGCAGACTTTTTCCAAGTGGCTCTTGGTCCACCATCCTAATATGGGATTCATCCACAAAGGACACGTATTTTAATGTCTAGGAAAAGAGGGTTAAAAATTTTACCCATTTTTGTACAGAATTATCAACAATCACATACCTGAACATATCTAAAGGCAAGTGTTATTCCTATTTACCAAATGACAAACTGTCAGAAGCTGACCAAACTCTTGTTAGCCAAGAATGAATGATTTCTGAGTCCAAAGGTAAATCAGCAGTGAGACCCTATCCACCTTAATATGTGGACTTCAGAGTCTCCGCAGCTTACTGCCTGATGACTTTAGGTCTCCCACGTGCTCTGTAAAAGTCCTTTTGTGTACCCTCAGTTTCAGTTACTCTAGATTGAATATCCTGAAAATTTTACTGTTGCAACTTAAATTATTTATATTTTTGTTGACTTTCATCTTATCTTGGGCCATGAAATGGTAATTATTTTTAGTTGCAAAAATGAACTTTCATTTCAAATTGTATAATACATGTACAGCGGCCAGTGAATCGTGTCTTCAGCTGCTGGGAAAGGACAGTAATGTTCTTATGAGGGAAAGACAAAGACCCTCTTTGTTGTTTGAAGTACTGGAGGTTTCTCCTTGATTGGGGGAAATCATGGAATCAAGTGTAGGGGACCTGCTTAGTAGAAGCCTAATTAAACAAATCAAAACAATACAGATGAGCTCAAATTCTGTTTGACTCATCCTGCATCCTAGGTTCCTTTGTAGAAGGAATCACTGTGGTCACTTTTGTGTGTACCTTTTTGTGTGCATATATTATCCTCCCTATACACCTCCATGCATGTGTATAATAAATGTAGAAACTATACAGAGCATATATAAAATATATAGAATGTATGTGTGTTATTTGTATGATTATATATGGGCACACATATAATACATGTAGAAAATACATGGGATGAGCTCATATCATATGTGCAGTTGTCTTTTAACCTATATATCATACCGTATATATTGCTCTATAGTTTGTTTTTTTTCCTTTCAACAACACGTTTTGGATATTTGCTCATGCCAGTACCTCTAACATAGTGGTTATGAAGATGAATTCTGAAATCAGCCTGCCTGAGTTGGAATTCCAGCTCCCCCCCTACTAGCTGTATGACTTCAGGCAAATTATTTAACCCTCCTGCACCTCAATTTCCTCATCTTTAGAAAGATGACAGTAGCACCTATTTAGAGGGTTGTGTGAAGATTCTATGAATTAATATATATAAAGCACTTTGAAGTTCTATAGCAATGTTTGCTCTTATTATTACCCACGTATTCTTTTAAACTGGTGCCTGGTGCTCTTTGCTATGGACTGGTCATAGTTTCTTTCACCATCCACCTGTTGGACATTTGGGTAGATGCTCTTTCTTGAGGGTAGGTATGGAGAAGTAGAAATGCCAGGCTGTAAAGTATGTCCCACCTAAATGTTATTAGATACTCTGCCAAGTTGTGCTCCAAAGTCACTATACTTTTTTCGGCTGTACCAATTTAATAAATCTGACAAAATTGACAAGTCCTAGAACATAAACATTTGTTCTCCCTCTATCTTGCCTCTTCATTTTTGTTTCTATTCTTCCCTAAGACCAAAGGATTCATCTGAGAGATGGTGGATCAGGGTAGAGTCCAGAGACTTGTCCACCATGGGATTACACCTATGATTTGGGCCTTATTTTTGCATGTTTTTCAGTGGCCTGACCGACACTCTGGGTATTTTGGCACCCACTGATGCAGTGAGCCTTACCGGCTTTGGCTTCACAATGCGCTCACACTTCCTGTAGTAGTATTCATTGGCTGCACAGCATTCACACCACTTGCAAAAGGAATAAATGCAGGATCGACAGCATTTACTTAAGTAAGGGTTGATGAGGAAGTCGATTACCACAGTGGCCTGGGAAAAACCCAGATCGGTGCCATGTTAGTGAGATTTCTTTTTGCCAAATCACTTTCCTAAAGTATGGGAAAGAGAATCCCTTACCAAACCAAAGTAGGAGATGACTGAGCCAGTGTACACGGCCAACTGGATAATGTTAAATTTTCCTCCCTGAAAACAAATGGGAAGGTGACTTGGTTGACATTCAGAGCAATGCTCTTTTGCTCTACCATGTAATTGTCAGCTCCAGCAGAGGAGGGAGTCTATGTTCACGGCAACAGAGACTGCAGACTGAAAACAGGACTCCCGTTGATCCTGTTCCTGCCTTCTGGGATGCGCTCGAAAACATGACCGTTTTAAACAAAGAACCACTGGAACCTGCACACTGAGTTTGTTGTTTTTCCATACAAGGTGAGAGCTTTAGACAAGTTTTCCCTAAAAGTGGTTTGAGATTACCTTGGAAGCAGAGGAAAGGAATGTCTGCACACTCTTCCCTTAGGTGTCCTCGTGGTTTTTCTTCTCAATGATCTTTCCATTCTCTCAGCTTCTATCCCATTGACTCTTGTGTTGCTTACCACCATATGACATAACATATAACATAAATAATACAGTTTTGGACAAGGCGTTGTGAGCATCTATGGAGTTTTGCATGCCCACTTCCTTCTTATGGAGACAACACCCCAGTTATCCTTTGGAGAACCATCTCTGTCCATACTTGGTCCATATAGTTTGAGGGGAAGGGGCTGGTTCAGGGCGGGTCCAAGACCAGCCACTGAGAGTATGGTGTGACCTAGACATAGTGTTTAGTTCAGCACAGGGCACGTGGCCCATATTGGGCCAGTCAGAGCCAAAGGCATCTGCCTGAATCCTTTGCTGAACCTTTTAGCAAAGAGATAATTCTCTTTTTATTGAGACTGCTGGACCAGTAAGATATAAGGAGCTGCCCGTAGACATGGCCAACTGAGGATGATACCAAAACAGAGGAGAACAGATATAAGAAATGGAAGGAGGCAGATTCCTAAGGAAGTTGTTTGAACATCTGGATCCAGCTATGCCTGAAGCCTGAAAACTGCCCCTGGAATTTTCAGCTATGTGAGATTTAAAAAAAAATTTTTTTTTCCCTAAGCCAATTTGAGTTGGCTTCTGTTACTTATAAAGTATTTTGCAAAAAGGATTTCTTTCTTTCCCTCTCTCTTTTTAAGCATCAGAATATTTTTAAAGTTGAATATTCAGTTTTTTCCCCAATCCTACTCTTGTAGTCATCAGATGACTTCATCGTGGACAGGACCCCAAGGACATGTCTTCCCCCTCTTATCCCACATGCAAGATGCACAGTGCCAGCTAATGACTATGACCGAAACATTCACCCCTTGAGGCACTACAGCACTAATTAGGACACAGTCACAGGAATGGAGGTGCCAGTGGCTGGGAGCAGAGACTTACGGTGCCAAAAACCAGAATGTCAAAACGGATCCCAAAGACTTTTATCAGAGTCCGTTTTTCAATGTTGTTTTCCTTATAGTACTTGGCGTATCTGTAGGAGGAGAAGGATCCATGTTTATAAAGATCTGTCTGAACGTGCTGGTATTTCATGAAAGGAAAACCCCAAACAGGAGCCGAGCTAGTCTTCCTTGTTCATCTTCTAGCTCTGCTGCAGTTGGCAGAGGGAAGAACATAATCCAAACCCACAAATTACTCTCTTGGAACCAAAGCACCACTTCCCACGTTGCCTCCTCTTCTTCCACCATCACAGAGTGATACAAAATCTGCTTTCCATTTAAGATTAAAGTGAACAATTTTTAACTAATACAGTATTAACAACAAGCAGAAAAATTAAAAAAAATAGTTTCAAGCAAATCCGATTATTTCTTAAGGGAGTTTGGCTTCTAGAACAAAGTGTGGTGGGGATCCTAGATACTAATGGCTGGATTGGGGCTAGGTGCCCCTCAGCAATCTGTTCTAATTGCATTTTCTTAGATTCTGTATTTGTCTATTTGCAACTGTTATCACAGGGCCAAACCAACAGCCACCATTGTTTACATCTTCCCTGTGATCCAGCTTTTGCGAGCGCCTGAAAATCATGTTACAGACCCTCTGACCAATCTTGAATCCATATCCCCAACCACCCCCCTCACTAACCCTCACACACGAGCCAATATTCCCCCCTGCGCCAGGTCACCCAGGGCTAGATACCCACAGCTAGAGAATGCACCTGTAACCCAGAGCCTGCCCACATTACTCAAGCAGGCCAATCCTAGGCCGTTGCCCTGCCCTACCTTGCCTGTCCCATGGAAAACACAATGAAGGTTCTGGGCCATGCTTTCTCCTTGATCCTTACATCTCCTGACCAAACCCAGTGCTTCCCCTATGGCCCTGTGTGGCATGGTATGCCCCCCCTCTTGGGAGATGTAAGTAATTAAGTCCTTTCAGTATCAGTGACCTCTCCATGTCAGTACTCAGCCACCTTCATAAATTAAGACGGGCACAAATCACAATCACTCGAAATATGCAGCTCTCACCAGTGTTACAGTCAGGAAAAGCGGAATGTTTTGTTTTCACGGATAATTAGGAAGGCTTAAACCACACACCTCGCAAAATTTTTCAATCTGTCCCTCCCCGTGAACCACCTTTTGGAGGTTGTTTTTAGGTAAGATATTTTCTTTCTGAGTTACTAATTTACAATCTATTTACAGGTGTGGAGAGAGAAGAAAACAGAAGACAGATGCTCTGCCAGAATCCAGTATGGAGCATTTGAAACTCCTATTTTTTTTAACTCTCAAAATGTGATGTTGAGATCGGTTAGATATTCTTAGGTGCTTCAACACCTATTTCTGGCCAGAGGGTTTTGATTTCTTTGCTTCTGATTGTTCTCATTCCATGACAGTTCTTTCTTCTGCTTCTCTACTGAGTGATTTATTTTTTAATACACAAAGCAAAGGGTCTTGGGACAGTGGTTCTTGAACTAAGGATAAGAATCACTTGGGAAGTGTGTTCAAAGGTAGATTCCTGGGCCTCACCCCCCAGAGAGTGGTTTCAGAAGGTCTGAGATGTTTCTGGAAAGGTGCCAGGTGGATCTGGTGCACATGGCCAGTGGTCTACACTCTGAGAAACACTAGGCCCTGAGCAGAATGGTTTTTTTGCACACTGTAACGGTTTGAATAATGCCCCCCCCACCCCCCAAGAAGGTAGGTCCAAGTGCCTAACCCCTGTACCTGTGAATATGACCTTATTTGGAATAGGGTCTTTGCAGATGAGATGAAGGATCTCAAGATGAGATCATCCTGGATTTAGGGTGGATCCAATGACTTGTGTCTTTATGAGAGAAAGGAGAAGAGAGTTGAAACAGAAACACAGAAGAGAAGCTCACATAAAGATGGAGGCAGACATTGGAGTGATGCAGCCTCAAGTCAAGGAACACAGGGAGCCACGGGAAGCTGGGAGAGGCAAGGAAAGATCCTCTCCTAGAGACTTCAGAGAGTGTGCCCCTGCTGACTCCTTGATTTTAGACTTCTGGCCTCTAGAACTGTGAGAGAATACGCTTCTGTTGTTTTAAGCCACCAAGTTCATGGTCATTTGTTACAGCAGGCACAGGAAACTGACACAGGCATAGGCCCACTCTGAACCAGAGAAGTGCATCAGGCATGCAGTGTGGGCCTGCCCTGTTTTATACGTGCTGTAAATAAATGGAATCACATGTTTACCGAATACAGACCTTTTGTTGTGGATCTTTGGTAAAGGACAAAATTCTGTAACATGATCAGCTTCTTCAACTTCCTGTTTTAGGAAGTTCTGTTTTTTCATAAAACTCATATAACCTGTAATTCCCTTCTTTTTTTGTGTGTGTGTGTGGCTGTTTGAAAATAACCTGTCCAGTTATCCATCAGAACTTGACAATTTATTTCTGGCCAAAGATTTCTTCTGGTGCTCATCCCAGACAACAAATGCTCTAACATGTTGTTCTAAAAGAATATTAATATCATAACCACCTCAGTTCTTCAGAAAGCTCAGATCTCTCCAGGAGCCAATGTTCTTAGGCTTACCTCAGCGACTCAAAGGACATTTGCTAACATCTGTTTGGGACATTGCCCTGCATACTTCTGCAGACTGCTTAAAACAAAAACAAAAACAAAAAAACCAGCCTGCGAAGGCAGTTAGGGGACCACCGATCCAATTGTCTCTTCTTGCTAATGGCCGTAAGTCTGTTCAATAGAGCATCAGGGGATATCAAAGTGTTACCTCAACTAGGAGCTGCTTTCAGGGTCCTGGATAAAACTCCACTGACCCAGAGGAGGCGAAAAGCATCTTGTGTCTTGATCTCAGCTGGCCTTTAGTCAAGGGTCTCAAACTCAAATGCCAACATGGGCCAGGCAGGTGACAGAAATGAGTGATGCAGGCCAGGTATAAGGCAATAGGGAGTGGTGGGGACTGTAGCAAACAAACAAACCCACATACCCTTTCTAAAGGGAACCACTGACACCTCCAGCAGAGTGGTGCCATGTGGGATATGAACCCTGAGTTGTCAAATGGTTTAGTTTTTTTTCCCCAAATAGTTAAATTTTTCGAGAAAAGTAAGAAGTCCAGATTTTTATGTAGAATGTCTCAACTTTCAAAACATTGTAAAGGCAAAAGACAAGTAACAAAAATAAAGACACAGTTGAAGGCTGCCTGCCAGTTTATGATGCTGCTGTGGGTAAAATGTAGAGACCCATTTGCTTGAGCAGATCCCCTCCAGAAGTCAGTAGGAATGCGAACGGAAGTGTTAGGAAGCAGTGAATATGTGTGTGTGCACGCACATGTGCACTTTTGCCTACACTTGCATGTACAGATTAAGTAGACGCCTTGTTTTATTCACTCTGCCAGGAAACTGGCAACCTGGTTGTAGAGACAAAATGTAGTCAGCCTTCAGCTGACTAAGAAGAAAGTATGTTTGGGGTGCTAGATGATCTAGCCTAGACTAGTGCTTCTCAAACTTCAATGTGCACATGAATCTTCTGGGAATCTTGTTATAGTGCAGATTTCGATTCAGTTCATCGAGTGGGGCCTGAAATTCTGCATTATATCAAGCTCCCAGGTGAGGCCAGGCTGCTGGTTCCAGGACTACACTTTGAGTATGGAGGTTCTAGATCGGTGGTTCTCACACCTGAGAGGCTCTCACTTAGAGGGCTTATGAAGACAATCCCCAGGGTGTCTGATTCAGTAGGTCCAGGGCAGAGCCTGTGAATGTGCATTTCTAACGCGTTCCCAACACGTGATGCTGATGCTGGGCATTGCACTTTGAGAAACACTGGTCTACACTGTTAATGCTAAAGGTATTCGGAGAGGCTACAAAGTTTTGCAAGGCGATCCCCCTAACATGAGCTGCTGTCTGTGCAGTTTCTCTTCGTAACTAGGAAAGCACACGATATCTGCAGGGGTCCTATCCTGTGCTTGAAGAGGCCTTCTCTGGTCGCTTCCCCCACTTCTACCCCTCTGCTCTGCCCCAACCCTGCAGTACAGTATCTTGTTTGATTTTCTTCCCAGCATTTATCATCATCTAAAATGGTCTTATTGGAGTTGTTTGCTCTATTAAGGTATAGTTTACATATAATAAGGCACACAAGTCCTAAGAGTTGAGTTCAATGAGTTTTGACAAATGAATACACTGTATAGCTTTACCCCATCAAGATCTAGAACATTCCATTGCCTCAGAAAACTCTCCTGGTCTCCTTTCCAATCAGTTCCTATTTGGGCTCCCCCATCCCCCACTCTCCAGAGCAGCACCCACTGTTGCCTTTTATTATCATAGAAAAGTTGTTTTGCCTGTTCTTGTACTTCATATAAACGGCATCATACAGTATGGCTCGTTTCGATCTAGCTCCTTTCACTCAACATAATGTTGGTGGGACTCCTCTATGTTGTTGCTTGTGCAAGTAGTTTGTTCCTTCTTCATTTATACTAACTAGTGCTTTATTATATAAATATACCCCATTTTATTTCTCTGATCACCTGTTGGACATTTAGGTTGTTTCTGGGTTTTGGTAATGATGACGAAGGCTGTTGTGAACATTCATGTACAAATCTTTGTGTGGACCTGTGTTTTAAGAGTGGGGTTTCTGGATTAGAGGATAGATGTGTGTTTAACTTTATAAGAAACTTCCCAATGGTTCTCTAATGTGGTTGTACCATCTTACACTCCCACCAGGGAACTAGGAGAGTTCCAGTTGCTTTTCCACCTTGTCAGCATTTGGAACTGCCAGCCTTTTAAAAATTTTTACCTATTCTGGGGGGTATATGTAGGTGTTTCTCATTGTGGTTTAAATTTACATTTCCCTGATGACTAACGATGTTGCCTTATTGGAGTTCTTAATTTACTTATATTCTTGTCTTATATGTTATAATGACTTATATTCATGTCCTGCTAGAATATAAGCTAAGTAGTAACTTTGTCCATTTTGTTTACCAATATATACCCATTGGCACAACAATATTTTTTTTCATTCCTATATATTTGATGGACGAATAAATAAGGAGCGCCAATATCAATTTCCTACTGGCTTCATAGGCAAAATGATTGAATAGCCATTATTCTAGGGATGTAGTTGGCAACTTTTTTTGAAAAGGGAATAGGATAAGCCTACTTTGTGTCTGGAACCAAATGGCACAAAAGGATCAGCCATAATAACAATCACCGAAACCTGCCTGGTACCTATAAGCAATGAGAGGTCATGGAACCTCAAACTTAAGGACCAAGTTAGTGCTGGGGCAGAGTTGTAGCAACAGGCTGAAGAAATGATCCAGACATAGGAGGTAACATGGAAATGAAGTTAGGATGACACAGGATCACTACCGGGGAAAAGTCAGAAGCAGAGGCGTGAACTGTGCAGAGGGTCAAAACAAGAGTGGAGTAGGTCAGCCCCAAATCAGTACCAGCCAGTTTCAATGGTGAAAATGAACCGGGAGTCTAGTCAACTCTTATAGGGTTGAAGTCCAGAAGTAAGAAGCATACAAGGTGCACTACAAACAAAGAACCTTACAAGTCAGACGAGACTGCAGTGGGGCAGCAGGGTGGCGTCAGGAGTCTTAAACATGTTCTTACCAAAAAGACTTCCAATCAAGGTGGCAGCCTGAGGGCCAGTACAGGATGCCCACCACCTCCCACCGCATACAAAGAAATGCAAGATAAAATATATTTTTTAAAGTCATACCAATGTATTACTGAGCTCAAAACAAGGAAAGACATTTTCTAGGTGCTAGAGATGAGTGGGGAGTGGGAGCCATGTCTGGAGCCTGAAATCTGTCCCCTAGGAGTACCCCAACCAGATCTGTTATCTGAGGAGCTCGAGTCTTACCCCTAGAAGTGTAAGGGAGCTGAGGCTGCAGGAGCCCTACCCAGGGAGGGAGCAGGGATAGGATACTTTCAGCAGAGTGAAGACATTCAGTGCCCAGAAATTAAACCAAAAACTGATTGATAATTGATAGATGCCATACAGTCCTGCAGACTAGAAAATTACATAATCACCCCAGAAGAATGCCTCCGCATCCCACAGCACACACAGAACTTTGCACAAGACCTTTCCTGCTGAAACTCACCAACAAATACTTCAAAGCCTCGGAAGAAGAAATCCCACCCAAGTTACTACAGATAATGGGTCAGGGTGAAAGGGGTTATACAGTAGAACAGACAGAAAGAATAGGATCCGTAAAGTCAGAATGGATCTCACTGAAACAGTAATAGATGGCTTTGAGAAAGAACTGAATATAAACCTGAGAAATGAAAAATACAGGCATAGGAAAAAAATTAAAAACCTGAAAGCATATGATAAAATGTTAATCACCTTTGATCCAATAATTCTACTTCTAGAAATTTATCCTAAGGAAACAATCTGGAATTCAAAGATTTATGTACAAAATGTGCAGTGTAGAATTATTTGTAATAGAAAAACTAGAGGCACCCCAAATGTCCAGTAATGGAGGAACGGGCAAGAAAACCACTCGATGGAAGGAAAAGTGTGTGGGTTTGGGGGTCAGAGTGACCTAGGTTAGTTAGACTTACGGAGCTGTTAGCTGTGGGTCCTGGGCAAATCATTTTACCTTTCTCAGCGCTACCTGAGAACACGAGTATCCACCTTCCAGGGTTGATGTGAGGTGGAGAGGTGATGACGTCGAGGGCCTGGTGTATAAAAGACCCACCCTCAGTTGTGCGTCTTGTTATCATTATGCTTGCACGGTGGAATCATTAATGTGAATCAATAACGAATCATAACCATCACGTTATGATTCCACAAGGAATTCTGAGTGACCCAGGGAATGGCAAAACAAACACACAAACGCAGAATACCAGGTTATAAGTGTGATCTGCTCTCATAGAAGCCTCATGAAAGAATTGGTTAAAGGAAGGAAAATTCACCAGTTTCTTTGATTATCTCAGGGTTGAGGAATTATGGGTGATTCATATCCTCCTCTGTATGCTCTCCTCTGCCTCCCCAATTTTGTTTCTGTTTTACAGAGTGTGTATCACTTTAATAATTAAAAAGAAAAAAATTCATACAAAAATCCCATCACCCCTGGTTCTTAGAGGAAGCTTTTTGCATTCATCTTGTTGCCTTGGGAACCAAAATTAATTCTCACTGACTGCTGGGGATGCAATTCAGTGGGGCCTGGAGGTTTCTGGGCACTGTTACCTGAAGTTGTAGCCAGGGTACAAGGATTCATTGGTGGTCTTGTCATCAAGGCGACGGAAACTGTATTTTGGACGGCAGTGATGGAACCAACCATCCAGGTTGCAGTCCCAGTAGATCTCAATGCCCATGATCCCTCCCTGGGGAAGAAAGGAGACACAGTCTCTAAGTCCTGCTGCTCATGGGACGCAGCTGCCAGACTTCTCCCTGCACAGGGTTGATAACTAAGGGAAGGTTTTCTTTTTAGAGGGAAACACAGATTGACGTTTCAGAGCCACGAGTGCAGTCCCATCTAACACACACAAGTGGCTGCAAATGCATCTCCCTGCTCCTCCTCCCATCTGGACACACCCTTAGATTTATTTTCCTAAAAGTACAACTTTCAGTAAATCTCTTCCATAATCTAACACCTTGAATGACCCCCCCCATTAAAGATTAAGTTGAAGCTTGTTACACTGGAATTCAGGGAACCCCATCACATATCTTTTCTGCTTTACCTCCCAACACTCCTCTGGAGAAAGCTCTTTTTTCACACTGTCTACACTTTCCTTAAACACAATTGGCATTTTTATTTTTTTTTTAAACACCTTTATTAAGATATAGTTCACATACAATTGGTACAAGTGTATAAAAGTGCGTAATTCAACAGGTTTTAGTATATTCACATATATGTGTGACTGTCACCATAATAAATTTTACAGCAGTTTCATTGCCTCAAACAACCCCCCTAAACTTTTAGTCAATGCTCCTTTCCACCCCTCCTCTCAGCCCTAACCAACCACCAATTTACTTTCTGTCTCTATAGAGTTCCTTATTCTGAACTTTCTTTCATATGAATGAAATAATATGTGATCTTTTGTGATGGACTTCTTTTACTTAGCATAATATTTTTATTTTTATTTTTAGTTATTTATTTTTTTAAGTAGGCTCCATGCCCAGCGTGGAGCCCAATGTGGGCCTGAACTCACAACCCTGAGATCAAGACCTGAGCCGATATCAGTAGTAGGACACCTAACTGACTGAGCCACCCAGGTGCTCCCACTTAGCATAATATATATATTTTTAAGATTTCATTTATTTATTTGACAGAGAGAGACAAAGCGAGGGAAGGGACACAGGAAGGAGGAGAGGGAGAGGGAGAAGCAGGCTTCCCACCAAGCACAGAGCCCGACGAGGGGCTCCATCCCAGGACCCTGGGATCATGACCTGAGCCGAAGGCAGACACTTAACGACTGAGCCACCTAGGCGTCCCCATAATATATATATATTTTTAATTTATTTATTTGAGAGAGAGAGAGAGCCAGAGGAGGAGCAGAGGGAGAAGGACAAGAAGACTCTGTGCTGAGCACAGAGCCCGATGTGGGGCTCAATCCCAGGACTCTGAGATCATGACCTGAGCCAAAATCAAGAGTCGGATGCTTAACTGAATGAGCCACCAGGCGCCCCTTACCATAATATTTTTATTTATTTATTTTTTAAAGATTTATTTATTTGAGAGAGTGAGAATGAGAGAGAGAGAGAGAGTACATGAGAGGGGGGAGGGTCAGGGGGAGAAACAGGCTCCTCGCTGAGCAGGGAGCCCGAAGCAGGACTCGATCCCGGGACTCCAGGATCATGACCTGAGCCTAAGGCAGTTGCTTAACCAACTGAGCCACCCAGGTGCCCCTACCATAATATTTTTAAAGTTCACCCATATTGTAGCCCATATCAGTACTTCATTCCGTTTTATGGTGGAAGAATATTCCATTGTGTGGATAGACTACATTTGGTTTATCTATTTATCCTTTGATAGACATTTGGATTGTCTCCACCTTTTGGCTATTATGAGTAACACTGCTGCGAACACTTACAATGTGTGAGTTTTTGTGTGGACATATGGTTCATTTCTCTTGAGTATACACTTAGGAGTGGAATTGCTGGCTACACTTGAACTTTTAGGTTTCACCCCTTGTCTTTTCTCCCATTGAAATATTTCTCCTACCATCTGTCTAGCTAAATCCTCATCATCCTCCAACTTACAACCTTCCTTATCCATTCAGTCACCCCTCCTCCTCAATTCAAGGTGATCTTTCTCTTCTCTGAACTTCTAAGGAATCTCTTAATCTCTTACCTCTACTTGGTACTTCTTTCTTCCTACAAACATGTTTTGAGCACTGACTATCTTATTTCACTGATTCTTAGACACCATTGCTTATCAGACAAGTAATTTTCTTTTTCTCTTCTCAGAAGGAAATGCTGTCAATTAAACTGAAATTCCCTCATCGAAAGCACTTTCTGATTTCAGAAAGATTAAAATGTGAAAAAAGTATGTCTTTGAATCGATGAAAGATGGTATTTCAAGACAGTATGCTAGATGCTAGGGATAAAAAGATGAGTAGCAAGCAGACGCTGACTTGGAGAAAGCAGACTAATCACAATCATCATTTATTGGCATGAAGCCAAGCACTCTGTGTATTTTTGTGAATATCTGATGTTTCTGTTGTTTAGCATCCAGTTCTCCTGGGTAAAAATGCCTGGAATTTTCTTTGGGAAATGTCTATCCCAGCTGAGTGGTTTAAATGGAACTGTCCCCTCTCCCAGCTCCCAGAATGGCAAGATGGTCTAGGCCTGGCCAGTAAGGACCTGACGACTGGTTCAGGAATAGGTATGTGGCCCAAGATAGACCCAATCAGAGTCTTCTCTGAGACATTTTGCCAGAACCATAAAAAAAGAGGTCCTCTATTGGTTGGGACCACTAGCCAGAGATTGTGACAGTCCACAGCAGCATTGTCCAACAGAATCTTCTGCAGTGATGGAAATATTCTATATTCATGCTGTGCAATAAAGAAGTCACTGGCCACATGTGGCTATTAAGTGCTTGAAATGTGGCTAGTATGACAAAGGAAATAAATACTTCATTTCATTTCAATTAATTTAAGTTTAAATAGCTTCATGTGACTAGTGGCTCCCATATCAGACAACACAGTCCTAGGACTTTGGTGGCTTTGCCTTGACATGTGGACAGTCTGCCTACAAATGACATCATCATTAAGGAAGCAGCAAAGAGATGAAGGAAGTCAGATTCCTAAAGACATCATTTGAGTTCCTGGATGCAGCCATGCCTACTGCTATCGCATGCTTCATTCAGTCAATAAATATTTATTGAGTGTCCATTATGCTGAGCATTATGCAAAAATTAACAAAAGATTCCAAAGACGCCTGCCCTCATGAAACTTCTAGTCAGGGAAGACAGACAACAAACAAATGGATATACAAAATATATACTATGTCAGATAGTGCTAGGTGCCAGGGATAAAAATAAACCTGGCAAGGGCCATAGAGCATGCTGGGAAAGGGGTAGAGATTGAAATTGTCATTTTAAAATTTTTTTCAGAGAGTGGGGAGGGAGAGAGAATCTTAAGTAGGCTGCATGCCCAGTGTAGAGCCTGAGGCGGGGCTCGATCTCACAACCCTGAGATCATGACCTGAGCTGAAATCAAGAGTCTGACGCTTAACCAGCTGAGCCACGCACGTGCCCTGAAATTGTCATTTTATTTTTATTTTTTTTATTTATTTACTTTTTAAGATTTTACTTATTTTATTTGAGAGAGAGAGAATGAGAGATAGAGAGCACGAGAGGGAAGAGGGTCAGAGGGAGAAGCAGACTCCCCGCCGAGCAGGGAGCCCGATGCGGGACTCGATCCCGGGACTCCAGGATCATGACCTGAGCCGAAGGCAGTTGCCTAACCGACTGAGCCACCCAGGCGCCCTGAAATTGTCGTTTTAAAGGTAGTAGTAAGGGAAAGCTTCACTGAGCTTATATTTGAGCAAAGATTGGCAGAATGTGAGGGAGACAGCTAATGCTATGTCTGGGGCAAGACTGTTCCAGGCAGAGGGGACAAGCAGAAGAAAACTCCCAAGGTGGGGTGCTCCCTCTTTAAAACAAACAAATAAATACAATCTTTTAAAAAAAGAAAGGAAAAGAAAACTCCCGAGGTATGGAAATGCCTTGGGTGTACTAGAAAGTCCATTTCCCCTGGTGTCTTTACATGAGTTAATAATACATGGTTCTTTTTTTTCCGCTTAAGCCATTTGAGTGTGGTTTCCTTTTGCCCCCAAAATGCTTTTTAATTTATTCTTTGCTTACATTATTTGAGTTGGATGTCCGTAAGGTGCAACTGGAAGAATCCTGACAAATCCAAGTGTGGTGGTCCGAATGATGACTCCCAGAGGTATTCCTAATCCTAGGTCCCAACCCTCGGAATCTTCAGATATATTATCTTATATGGCAAAAGAGACTGCGGATGTGATGAACTTAATGGGGAGATTATCCTGGATTATCCAGATGGGCCCTACATGTTTCCTTTTATAAATGCTCTCTCTGAAGAAGACCAGTATCTTTATAAGAGGGAGGCAGAGGGAGACTTGGCACAGAATAAGTCAATGTGACCACTGACGCGAGATACTATGCAGCTGGCTTCGAATCTGGGAGAAGGGGCTACAAGCTTCTAGCTCTAGAAGGTGGAAAAGGCCAGGAAATGGATTCTCCTGTGGGGCCTCTGGAGGGTTCGTGGCCCCACTGATACCTTGATTTTGGTCCAGTGAAACTGATTTTGGACTTCTGACTCAAGGACTCCAGACCTCTGGCGTGTTGTTTTAAGCCGCTGAGATCGTGGTGGGTTGTTACAGCAGTCTCAGGAACTACTGCTCCAGGGATGTGACTCACAGGGTTGTTGTTGGATTAGATGGGGTAATAATGCAGGGAAAGACCTTGGCACCGACCAGGGATTTACTGAATGCTCAATAGAGGGAGCCCTATAACTAAGACCCAGGGGCCTGGCCTCTTGGCTATTTGACATCTTCCACCCCCCCGAATCACAGCCTCGCCATCCAAAGATACACCAACCTGAATTGCCACATCTGAAAAATTATCTCCTGTTTCTTGGAAGATATCTCCTAGTCGGAAAATGGGACACTGTGGATTCTGAGTCTTGTGAAAGGTACAGGTGATGTTTACACCTGGCAAGATGTTTCTCCTGCACGCAACGAGAAACAAACAAACAAACATGTTTTTGAAAACTGAGACCTGTTTCTTTCATGCAATGAGCCAGTTGGTTGCTGGGTTCCATGAGGGGCCCCGGGGATCCTCAGCCCCTGGGATTCACACCCTTGTGTAGTCCCCTCCCATCCTGTGCTGGGTTGGTCTGTGACCACTAGCATGTGGCAGAAGTGATGGTGTGTCACTTCCGAGCTTAAGTCATAAAAGCCTGTGACTTCCATCTTGTTTACTGTATTGTTGGCTTGCTAACTGTCTCTCTCGGATCACTTGCCCTGGGGGAAGCCAGACACCATTCCTAAAGGACACTCAGGCAGTCCAAGGGATGGTCCATATGGTGAGGAACTGAACCTCCTGCTGACAACCAGGTGAGTGAGCTTGGAAGAGGATTCTAGCCCCAGTCAAGCCAGAGATGACTGCAGTCCCCACTGACAGCCTGACTGCAACCCGAGAGACCCTGAATCAAACCATCCAGCAAAGTCATTCCCACATTCCTTACCCACAGAAACTGTATGAGATAATAAACGTGGGCTGTTAAGCTTCTAAATTTTGGCTAATGCATTACACAGCAGCAGATAGCTAATGGCTAGACATTCTGGGCACTTACGTGGTGTAGTTGTGGCCAGGGAAGTCAATGTTATTCTTGATGAACACAGTGAAGTTTTCAGCACTCTTCAAGAGCGCGGGCCTGAGAGAGAGATTCGAAATGGGGATCAGTGGGCCAATGGGACCACAGGCTTCTGGCTTCTAGCTCGGGTCATTGCAATGAGTGAAGAGAAATGTAGTCTAAGTGGGCAAAACCTTCCTAAAAATCTAAAAAAGAGTAAGAATTTCTTTCTTCCTGAGACCCCATGGCATTTACTATAACCCTTCTCACACTCTGATGTAATTGTATGTTTAGGTATGTGTGATGATGTGCTGGTAAATGTTTAACATTTCTTTCCCCCAGTGGGGAAGAAAGGCTCTGATATATAGCATTTACTGATTACTGTGGTATAGGTACTCCCACCATGGCTGATCTCAAGCCATTAGTGGGTATCACTGAGCTTGGAGTTGGGAAGGGATGAGCATAATTGGCTCAGAGTCAGTATAAGCCAGCTCCAGCACACCTCTGTTTGTGTCTTTCCCAATAGACTTGGATTCTTCTTATCTTGGCATCCATGGCCTTTAGCACAGGGCCACACATATAGTTGGCTCTATTAGTCATAGGTTGATAGGCTCTGAGGAGCATAAATTCTCCATGAGTTAGAGGAGCCCAAATCCTAGACTTTAGGAAGGTCCACCGACAACCCATCAATTCATTCATTTGACAGATATTTATTTATTCTGCTGGGCATGGGGCTAGGCATTGGGAATATAGTGATGAACAAGGCAGTCAAGGTTTTTGTCCTTATGTAGTTGACAGTCTGCTAAAGATGGAGAGAATTGGCTGTGGATAAAGAGATACAGCTGGTACCTTATTGTTGGCAGGCCTGAGTGGGTGGCAGATATATATAAGAGGAGTAGCACCAGGAAAGGATGGAGGTATTTGGAAGGGGGCACCAAGATGATCTACTTTTTATTCCAAAATTGCCAGAGCCCAGCTTTGCCTCTATTTAGGATATAACTATAGAGAACACTATAGTTTTTGCCTGCCCAGCATCCATTTCCCCTCTGTTAGAACCACCTCAGTTTTCTCCCTTTGGGATAGCCAGGTCTCTTCCACTCTCAGCCCAGAGGGTTGGGTGGGGAGGAGTCCATCTCCTGCCCACCCTTACAGCTCCCAGGATGGGCAAGTGACCCAGAGCTGGCTAAACAGAATAACCCAATCCTCTTGGCTATAGTGATTGGTTCATAGATTGTTATGTGACTTAGGCCAATGAAAACATTCTAGGGTTTTTGTAGGAAATACTGGAAAAAGAAAAACTCATTTTTCTTTAGGATTGCTAGTAGTAAAGACAGTGTAAACCCGGAGTTCCCTGGACCACAGTGTGAGGAAAACCAAAATGGAAGAAAGAATAACTGGGGTGGGGGGTGGGGGTTGGAAAAGACCGAAAGAAAAAGAATCTTAATGACATCATTTTTATATGAGGCCTGGATCAAGCCTTTCCTGAAGCTAGTACTTCTGGACTCCTCATTTACAGGAATTAAAAAAAATAATAACATTGTCTTTTTTCCTGAAGCCAGTTTAAGTTGTATTTCTGACATTTGCATAAAAAATCTTATTTACAACAAATGCCTATGACATGCCAGACTGTTTACCCTTAGAACATCCTAAAATCCCATGCTTCCTGAGCAACATTCTAAGAATAAGAGGACTTGAAACTTGAAGGATCAAAGTCCTTTATTCCTCTCTTATGACACTCTTAACTTTCTGCCTTGAACTGTAGTTCTCTGTGCACGTCTTACCTCTGATTAGCCTGCAAGAGGCTCGGGACCTTCTCACTATCTGGGTCTGCTTGTATTTTTAGCACAGTCTCTTGTGCATAGTTACATGTAAAATTAATATCTAATACCTCCTACGTGGTATTGGATGTGTTGACTGAATGATTAAATGAATCATTTTAGTAATCCCTTTGCATAAAATATGAGGAAACTGAAGTTCAGGGGGTTGCTTGCCCAAGGTCATGTAAAATTGCAGTCCAAGGACCTGCACATTGGAGATGCCCAGTATTTATCTGATGAATAAGTTAGCAACTGAAAACTACAGGTAATCAAGAGGCCTCTTTCCTTGAACCAGGGACTACTTGAGTGTTAGCCGATAGCTCACTCAAGCCCTGGGCAATTCTTTCCGTGAAAAAGAAACTTCTCTGACCTAGAAATAAACCTGGGTGGTACCATTAATGATTGAGGGCTGGACAGGCTGACCCTGCCGAGTGCTTCCCACCCTGACATGGGAAACCTTTGCCTGGACCTTCTAAAAAGTCAGCTTGGGACAATCTTCTCTTTGCCCCAAAGATGCTGATGGTGTGGTTTTGAGTCACATTCATCTAGAGCTGTGTTCTCCCATATAGTATCCCCTAGGCATGTGTGGCTATTAAAATTGAATTTAAATTAAATTAAAAATTCAGTTGCTCAGTTGCAGTAGCCACATTTTAAAGTGCCCAGTGGCCACTGTACCTAGTGGCTACCATATTGGACAATGCAGGTACAGAACATTTTTATCATTGCAGAAAGTTCCATTGGACAGTGCTGGTCTAGAACCACCACACTTCTAGGGGGAGATTGTTTTTGGGTGTGTGTCTATGCGCACATGTGTGTGTGTGCGCGTGTGCGCGTTATTCAGCACTTACTGTAAACTAGGCATGGGGCTCACTTTGCTTTTGAGGTACAAGTGTCATCTCATTTAATTCTCACAACAGCCTGCGAGGTGGGGGCAACTATTATCCTCATTTTACAAATAAGGAAAATGAAGCTCAGAGAGGTTAAGCCGCTTGCTCAAGGTCACACAGTGAGGAAGTGTTAGAGTCAGAATTTGAATCCAGGTCTCTCTATTCTTCTGCTGAAATGTACCAATCCCTGTGATTTCTGAGATTTAACATCAAGTTCTGCTTTCTGGGCCTGACATTGTGCATTAAAGAGAAGAATCAATATAGGGGATCAACAAATCTGTATGTCACTGTGACCACTTAATTTAAGAAAACTTCTCTTCTCTCCCTCCCTCCCTCCCTCCTTCCCTCTCCTTCCTCTCCCCTTCCCTTCCCTTCCCCTTTCTTCCTTTTTCCTTTCCTCACTCCCTTCCTGCCACCTTCCCATCCTTAATCGCTCAGTATGGACACCAACCAGTCAGAATGGGACCTGCTGTAGTGCTAGAGGAGGGCTCCCAGAGATGCTCTGTAAGGTGCTGGGACAGCCAGGGGCCCAGGGGCACCCAAGGGTGCTCAGGGTAGTAGTTATATACCAGCCAGTACGGAATTATTGCCATATTTTAACAATTAGCATGGCCTTCTCAGAGACCACTGGTGTGCCTGGGACGGAGGGGTAAGAGGGAGGACTTTTCAGGTCTTTTCAAGACTTTTCATCTGCTCACTGGTCAGGGCCACCCCATCTCCTCCCCTCCCCCCACCGCAGCTCACCGGGGAGCCTTTTCCACCTCCTCGATGGGACACCAGGCAGAGACTTCACAGGTCTTCAGCCCCTCTTTATACACTACACACCTTCCGGTCTGGATCCCTGGTTGGGGGGGCGGGGGTCAAGGGGCCAGAGAAGCACAGGTGTGAAAACCGTGGGCGCGTCATGAACTCAACCCAAGCAAGAGACTATTTATTTATGCTTTTCAACCCAAGCAGTTTCAGCTTCCATGAAACCCCATTCGAACCACAAACTTACATAAGGCAACCCAAGCAAGGAACACATCGGACGGTAAGCTTTTTTAAAAAAAAAAAGATTCAGAGAGAAGACAGAGACCGTGGATGCTGTTGGTTTATTTTGGTTTCTTTGCAAGAAAAATGCCGAGAGAGGAGCTGAGCAGGGTGTGTTCGCTCACCTGGCACACCTGGACTAGAACATGGCTTCTAAGTGGGCGGGCACTGGAGTCCCTTAGGGGTGTACAGCACGGACCAGGGATGTGCAAAGCCAGAGAATGAACATGACACATCTTCCTGGAGTGTTAGTGTCACTAGCAGATTCCCGAGGGGGCAAGTTAAAGAGTAAGACATGTTTGAATGGTCTCTATACCAACTCAAACACACACGTCTTATGGTACAGAATGTAACAACTGTAGGCCTTTTTTGTGTATGTGTGTGTGTTATAACCACTGATGGTTTTATCTTTTTTGTGGTCATTTTTTTTTTTTTTATTGTCACGTGCGTCTTTAAGTTAAAACAAGAGATACAGAAACTCTGTAGGTTAATAGTGGTACCATCCCCAGGCGCCCTGGGGCTACAGTTCATACTTCTCAACCTTTGGGCAAATTCGAGGGAGAAAGCTCAGCATACACAGATGACACTGTGGGCCATTGGATTTTCCTGTCAATGAGAGCCCTGAAGATGCTAATTCTGGGGGTTTTCAGGAGCTGCCCTCACTGGGGAATTAGATCACATTGCTAGTCAGTAGCCAGTCCTCTGGGGACAGAGCAGAGGCTTGGGACAGACACAGGCTGTCCCACGGCCTGGTGAGGGTGGAAGAAGGCAGCTGAGAGCCAGAGGCTAAAGATTTGAACTTTAGGACATTGTGAATGTCACCAAGATACCAGACCACCCACCCCCCCAGGATCCCGAAAAGAAACAGAACATACCTCTGCTCTGCGGGTCCATCCATCCCTTTTTACAATCCCTGTCAGAGGAACAGATCGTCCTTTGGGTGGGAAACTGCAGGGAGAAGGACAGGACAGTGGGGAGTAAGCAACGTGTGTCTCCTAAGATACAGAAATGCAGATGCCTGTGTCCACACCAAAACTTGTACACAAACGTTCACTGCAGCACCATTCACAGTACCCAACAGGTAGAAACAACCCGAATATTCATCAGGACAAACAAAGCGTAGCGCATTCATACAATGGATATGACTTGGCCATAAAAAGGAAGGATGCACCGACACCTGCTGCAACACTGATGACCATTCAAAACGTGATTCCGAGTGGAAGAAGCCAGCCCCAAAATGCCACATATCGTATGATCTCAATGATACGAAATACCCAGAACAGGCAAATCCACAGGGACAGAAAGTAGATCAGTGCTTGCCAGAGGCTGAGGGAGAGGGGGAATGGGGAGTGACTGCTCATGGGTACAGGACTACTTGTTGGGGTGCTGACAATGTCCTAGAATTAGGTAGTGGGGTAGTGGTACAACATCGTGAAAATACGAAAACCCACTCATTTCTCCACTTTAAAATGGAGGACTTTATGGCATATGAGTTATATGTCAATAAAAAATAAAAATAAATAAAACTCTAAAAAGCAGATGCCAGGGCAGCCAGGTACCACTTTCAGGGAAGGGCCCCCGGGCTGGAGAGCAGGGGGCCTGGTCCAAGCAGCGCTTGGCTGCAGAACTGGGCAAAGCCAGAAGCACGAAGGCTCAGCAGGAAATGGGAAGGAAGGGGTGCCAGCCAGCACTTTTTCCTGGCTTCAGAAAATGAGATCAGCTAGGCCTCAGGCCTGAGGACAGAAGAAGGAAAAGAGAAATGCAATGACTAGTTTAGGCCCATTTGACTTTCTGTGTTCTAGGGAGCAGGTTTAATGGCCGGTCTTAGGGGGACCAGAGCCTGAAAGTAGTATGAAAACGGCCTCTGCCCATCATCTTCCTCTGACCTGTGCCCCCTCCAGCATCTCTTCTCACCCGCCCGACCACTCCAGTTCCCCTCCTTACGTCAGGACATAACCCCTGCTGTTGGCCTTCTGTCTTGAGAAAGTTTGTCATCACGAAGAAGGAGTTCCCCTGCAGAGAAAGAGGAGAGGAGGCAAATGCCAGGCCTTCGAGAGCAGAGCTACTTAATCATAATAATCCAGCCTGCTCAGTGCCTGGGGGCGAACCTTCCACCTTTCTAAACTACACTCTAGAAATCAGGTCTGGGAGAAACTTGGACTGTGCTGAGGGCTTAATATCAAAGCTGGATGAGCTGCCCTGCTGAGCCAAAGGAGAGCAGAGGGACATTCAGACTGATTGAGTATTCATTTTCCATTCCAGCTTCAAAAGCAGCCTTGTCATTTTTTGGACACAATAAAATCCCATTAAATTGAAACTTAAGAGACCTAGGGAGTGGGGGTGGGGCGGTGGGGTGTTGGCTTCATCAGAACGCTGTTCAGATTATCCAGGATTTTAATTAAAGGGCAAAAGGCAGCCCACAACCCAGGAAATAGCTGGAGATCTTGCTGAACCAGCTCCGCCCCCCCCCCATAGAAATAAACAGATAGTGGCCTGGGTTTTATGGTTTTGCAAAGTACCCCAGCTCCCAGAGGCTCCAAAAGTGTCCCTTTGTCCCTCCAGCCTCCCTATCTGTTCGTTGGTGTTCTCATTCCTACTTTTGAGTCTCCTTTTTGACTATTCTACTTTTATTTTCTCTTCTCGCAAATTTAAGCAGTCACATAGCCCTGTGATCCACAGCCTTCCTGTCTTTGTCATCTCTTTCCTTTTCCTTGTTTTAAAAATATATCTGAGTGAGTGTTTTTTTTCTGGAGACATTTTTGTTGATAAAACTCCACACAAACGATTTAGAAGGGCCAGTCCTCTCTAGGCAGGAAGTTCTTTGTCCTTCTGGATCTAGGCAGACCTTGCTGACTTGATGGCCCTGCTTCTAAAAAGCTGTGTATATATCAAGTTGTGAGTGAATCAAATCGTGCTTTAAATGCACCAGATCACACTGCTATTTTGAGAAACCCCGTAGGACTCGATAAAGCAAAGAATCATCTTTGAGCTGCTGGATTTGACCCAATTTTGCAATTTTTAGGTTTTCTCAGTTGGGATTTTCACAGAGCTTTTTTAAAATAGGGACAGTGTTTTTCTGACGTGAGGCTCAGGGTCCCAGGGGAGGGAGGCAGGGCCCTGGTGACAGTGACCAGGGAGGAGTCCTTGGGAGTTGCTGACAAGAACTCACCTGCAAGGGGAAGGTGTAATCTGCAGTGTCAAAGACCTCAGACACCATCTTCTTCATTCCATTCTCCAATATCTCCGCCTTCACCTCTGCTATCCCTTTCACCTTGGTGTGCACGGAACTGATAAGAGGCTCTTTCTTTTGGTACCGCTTGTCACTGATCAAAGCAAAGCTAAATGGCAGACACAGTAAAGCATCAGTGGTTTTCTCAACGGAGGCACAGTGTAGTGGTGTTGGATGCAGGTTCCGAAGGCTGCCTCCATGCACATCCTGGCTTTTCTGGGTGACTTTGGGCAGCCTACCTACCTGCCTTCTCTGTGACTCATTTTCCTTATCTATAAAGTGGGAAGAATCGTCGTACCTACGTCAGAGGTGGTTGTGAGGATGAAATAAGGTATATGTGCAAACTCCTCAGCATTGGTATCTGGCACGCTATGAGCTCTCACCACGTGATGGAAATGATTGCCCCCAATGTGAGTCTCCAATATTGCCTAATATAGACCCTGATTTACAGGGCAACTTCTCAAATACCAGAGTCCCGCTCCAGATTGGTCCACCTGTTTTGTCCTGGGGCTGAGCAACACATCAACGCCTAAGGATGTGTCCAGCAGGTCAGCCACCTATTTTCCAGAAACATCCACCTGGTTTCTAATTAATATTGATAATAGCAGCTGCCCTTTACTGAGCACTTAGTACATGCCAAGTGCTCTTCATGCATCATCTGTTTAATCTTCACAGCAATAGGAGATGGTTACTGTTATCATCGCTTTTGTAGATGAGAAAATGGGCTGAGATGTAAAGGAAATTGCCCAAGATAACACAGATCGTCAGTGGCAGAACTGAGGTCCTCAGCTGGTCTACCGTCTAGCCCAGAGCCAGACCTCTTAACCTTATATGCCACAGTATGATGTAAAGTTTAAAGAAATCCAAAACAGCGTTCTACATTCAAACAAATGCCTGTCCACGCGTGCTCATAGCAGCACTATTCATAATAGCCTAAAGATGGACACAGCCCACATATTCGGCAGTAGACGAATAGATAAACGAAATGTGGTCTACCTGTGTGATGAAATATTATTCAGCTATAAAAAGGAATAAAGTACTGAGACATGCTGTGCTGTGTAGGAACCTCAAAAACATTATGCTAAGGAAAAGAAGACAAATACAAAAGGTCACATGTTGTATGATTCTATTTATGTGAAATAATCCAGGATAGGTAAATCCATAGCAACAGAGTTGACTGATGGGTGCCCGGGGCTGGGGAGCCACAGTGACTGTGAACGCGTGTGGTTTCCCTTTGGAGTGGTGAAAATGTTTTGGAACTAGATAGAGGTGGTGGATGTACAACAATGTATTGTTAAATGCCACTGATTTGATCACTTTACAATGGTTATTTCATGTGATATGAATCTCACCCCAATAAAAAAAGGAAAAAATGTTTTTTAGCTATAGACGTATGTTGTAGAAATAGAAAAACAAACACAGAATGACAAATACCAAATTCAGGATGGTGTTTAAAAGAGGAGAGGAAAGAGAATGGGATCCAGGCGGGGTCTGCAGGGAGCTAAAACTGGATTAATAATATTTTATTTCTTAAATTGGATGGTGGTACATGGGTGTTTACTATATTATTGTCAATATATTTTAGTATTTATATACCATTCATTAAAAGAGAAAGTTCATCAGGGGTGCCTGGCCCGCTCAGTTGGTGGAGTGTGTGCAGTTCTGGATCTTGGGGTTGTGAGTTCGAGCCCCAAGTTGGGTGTAGAGATTACTCAAAAATAAAATCCTAAGGAAAATAAAAGAAAAAAGAAATCTCATCAAGAAGGACTTTGGAGCTAGAGATCCAGATTTTAGGTCCAATCAGCATATATGAGAAGGAGCTATGACATACAGTTCCATAGACAAATATAATACTTGTTCGACAGCGTATTTCAGCCTAGCATAACAATGTGAACATGGTCTGTGCAGTGTTTCCATGTCAGACATGGCGACATTCTCCCAGAATAACACTGGGTTAGTTTGGCCCACCATTTGGGAAGCTCAATTTGAACCTGTCATACTCATTTCAGGCACACAACATATTATAGATCAGCTGTAACGGAATCCAACCCTCTCATAAGTCAGAAAACTTGCCTTTGTATGATAATGAACCTATCATACAAGAGCTGCATCAAAGGAAAAAAAGGGGAAAAGAGTTGATGGTATCCTGCCCTAACGACTGTCCCTAAGACTCAGACAAGCCATGTCACCTCTGGCCATTGGTGTAGTCCCTGAACAAGGGGACGGCTGCCTGGCTCCCTGATCCTTGTGAACTTGCAGCTCAAAGAAGCTACAATTCTGTGCATGCTGAAGACCAAAAACCCACCGGTCCCTCTGGCGCACGGGCACGAAGGAGCTGGGGGCTTACTGACCCCTTGTAGGATGGGGAGAAAGAGATGGTGGGGTGGAAAGCTGCCGAGCCTGGGGAGGTCGAAGAGGACTAATGTGAGGGAAAGTGGGCACTCACAGGCAGGTCTGGCCTCAGAGGGGGGCTGCAGAGCGATGGGGAGGAGGGAAGGACAGAGAATGAGCTCAGCTGTGCAGCTCTGAGGCTTGCACACAGCACCGACTCTACAGGTGTAGATGAAGGTGCCCACCATGAAGAGGACCTGCACACTCTGAATATGAAGGGCTTTCTCTTATTGGCACCTCCAGGGGCCCCGGGCCCGTGCCAGCATGGTGAGAGAGCCCTCAGAGGGCCTCAGGCCGGGAAGCACAGCTCAGCAGAGCCTGACTCTTCCTCACAGCGCCTGGGCTCACTGAGTAAAGGTAACTCTAAAGCGAAAGGATGGGATCTGAAAGTGAACCACCCTCAAATCTGGGTAACTGACACTTACCTCAAGGCCAACATTTTCTTGGCGCCTAAAGGAACTGTGGGCCCGGGACACTGTCCTCTGTGCCTCATGGAGAAGTTGAGCCCACAGCCTCTGCTTTCTGTGTTTATAACCCCAAGAGAAGAATCCAATTATTTCCATCCCGGTCCCACTCAGCAGTGGGGTGAGCTCCGCAAGGGGCCAAGGACAGCAAGAGATGCACTGAGAAGAAAGTGGAGGAGAGCCTGCACCCCCAAGGCAAGTTAAGTACCGACTGTATTAGTTTTCCATTGCTCCTGTAACAAATTACCACAAACTTAGTGTCTTAATGCAAATTTATTCTCTTAGTTCTGGGGGTCAGATACCTAAAATTGGTCTTATGGGGGTGAAATCAAGGTGACTCCCGGAGGGCTGGAGGCTCCACGAGAGCATCTGTTCCTCACCTTTTCCAGCTTCTAGAAGCTGTCTTGGCACTCCTGGGCTCCTAGCCACGTCACTCCAACCTCAGCTCCCATTGTCATATCTTCTTTTTCTGACTTTGACCCTCTTGCTTCCCCTCTTTTGAGGACTCTTGTAATTACACTGGGGACACTCAGATAATCTAGAATAATCTCCCTATCTCAAGACCTTAAACTCAATCACATCTGCAAAGTTCCTTTTACCCATACAGATTCATAGGTCCTGGGGATTGGGGTGGAAATCTTTTGTGGGCCATTATTCAGCCTACCCCAATATAGTTGGCCTGTTGTAGCTTTTTAAGAGCCCCCCCCCCCCACCGCCCAGCCTTCACCCTACCCCACCTTTTCCTGAGCTAGAGTGAAGAAGTTTCAGTTCCTTGTTACCCACGGCTTAACTAAGACATCATCTTCACTTCTAATTTCCTTTGGCTATTGCATTTCTTTTCCATCAGCCAACACTTCTGGAAAACCCATCCTTATAATGCTTCCCAAATGCTTTCTCTCATTCAAAGAACTTGTATTCCAGAATACAATACTTTCTACACATTCAACTACATGGAGAACAGAGAGTGAATCTTAATCTATTAGTTAAAGTTTATCAACTAGAGGAAAAATAACAGATACATGTAAAATCCTGAACTTGAACTAAAAAACTCAAGTTATGCCAGTACAAACCAGAGCCCACCCAAGGTGGCAGAAGTTTTTGTTAGAGGCCCGAAATTTTTAGATAATCCTGAGCCCATATGAACCAACATTGTGTTATATCATCCAGAAGAAAACAAAACAACAAAACAACTAGTGTTATCTTAAGCTTCAGTGAAAGAAGTAGAATATTGCATTCTTGGGTGGTGGTAAGCCAGTGGCCTATGGCCACATTAGGCAGCCCCTCTGTTTGGGTTTTATGAACCACATTTTTCCAGAAAACCCCTTTAATTGTTGTAAAAGTGTAAATTTCACAGAACTGCACAAAGAATATGAAAAGCTTCTAACGTTCTCCCTCCCAGAGGTTACTGCCGTTGAAACAGGGTATCTTCCAGGTATCTCTTTATGCCCACACCTTGACACCCAAACATGGCCACACTCTACATGCTTTATGTAACTTGCTATTTTTACTCAGTAGTATATTATTAAATCTTTCCACAACAGTAGTGATAAATGTTATGATAAAGATAGATCTATGATATGGAATCACTTTTAATGGTTACAGAGCATTCTACTGTTTAGATTGGAACATATGAAATTACTCATTTTTTAGACCAAAGGAGTAGATACTGGCAATTCCATATAGTTCAACCTAAGAGGCGAGTTGTGATAATTTGCCCCCTGTCTCTTCCTGGTGGATATTTAACTGGAAGTTTTGCTGTTTTTCCAATTGTAAACATTTTTTTTTGGTAACCCAGATATAGCTCTTACTGTGTGCCAAGCACTCTTTTAAGCATATGTTAATAATATATATTAACTCTTTCAATTCTCACCTCCCCCAAAACAACCCTGTAAGGAAGGTCCTGGTATCATCCCCACCTTATATCTGAGCAAATTGTGGTACAGACAAAGCGAGCCTAAGTCCACATAGTGCTATGGACTGAATGTTTGTGACTCCCTAACATTCAGAGGTTGAAACCTAACCCCTAGTGTGATGGCATTAGGAGGTGAGGCCTTTGGGAAGTAATTAGGTCATGAGGGCTGAAGGGATTAATGCCCTTATAAAAGAGTTTCCAGAACCTCCTTGCCCCTTCTACTATGTGAGGGCACAGCAAAACGATGGCTGTCTGTGAACCAGGCAGTGCATACTCACCGAACACCTTATCTGCCAGCACCTTGATCTTAGAATTCCCAGCCTCCAGAACTGTGAAAAGCAC